AAAAGGGGAGAAATTCTCGCGTGTCGATCCCTCGTTATTCATCGCCGATATCCGACAGCGCGAGCAACGATTTATTCGGGTTTATCGGGCAATTATTACTTCGCCTCCTTAAAAATCCCGTCCGCCGACCCCCCTGCGCTTCCCAGCCCATTTAATTTTCGGACGCGGTACACGGGACCAGGTGAGTGTCGCTTCCTGTTTCAAACTGCCTCCCGCCCTCCTCCCGCCAGGATCGGGCGAAATTACACGCGGCCAGAAAAGCCTGACAGACCGACACGACCGCGGGCCAAATTATTATTACGGCAAAAACGAAGCAGCAGGAAGTTGTGTCCCCTTATCTTTATAAAAATCTGCCAGCGAGACACGAAATTGCGCGAATAAATGTCGGATTCCCCGCGCGGATCCCTCTGTACCCTGAACGCCGAAGGTGCAAATTTATCGACCGTGAAGATCGCTCGACGGCTACGCGGTGGTTCTCGCTGGAAGAAAGATACACTTTGCGTTCGATTGTCGCACAGAGAAAAACGGACTCATCCCGATTAACCTCGATCGACGCGTGCTGCCGCGTGCAGTATTTTTGGGGAGTCAGTCGATGTGAGATGTTTTTGAGAGTAATTATGGTATCGGGGATCGAGTGGAAGATTTTTAGTGGTAAGTTGTAGGTTGGTTTTGGAAGAGGAATTGAATGTTAATTGAGAAGAATATTTAGGAAATTATAGAAAAAGGAGTGTAAAGAGATTTTTGTTACATAAACACAGACTTAGAATTGTATTTCTTAAGTAGCCACGTGTTTCGTGGAATTCCTATTATTTCGTCCGGCAGCGTTTCGTCCGAGGCGGTGGACAAAAATCTATCTTGCAACGGGGTATAGAGCTCATGTATTTGAAAAAAAATGGTAGTGAGACAATCGACATAATCCCCAAGACTACCGAAAATGCCCCTTGACGCGCTGTCGACTGGAGTACCCCGATTACCTGAAGATTTGGCAACCAGCTGACCTGCGGTCTCGAGCAATAAAGTAATTAAAGGTTTCCCGTTCTGGTGTCTTAACAATTGATTATTTGAAGTCGTTGGTTCCGAATTTAAAAGATTTACAATGGTACAGTTATTACAATATATTTTATGTTTATCTAATACCAATTGTGCTGTCTTACATCATATAATTACCATTATTCGAAACTAATAGCAAATGAATATTGACCACAAAATCTTCACCCAAAATCCATAAAATACGCAAAGTCGGTTGGAATATTCGGTTCAATTTACCAGAGTATACAACGGTTAATCGTTCGCTCATACAACAAATCAGGAGGGAGGCCAAAAGCAGGTTAAAGCAGGAAGCGAAGGAAAAAAATGGCCGTCGTTCGTATCTGGCGTCGCATACCGACACGTAACCACCGCGTAAGCGATAAAATTTCTAAGATAAAAAAAAGGAACTATTTATGCGACGGCTCGTGGCTAGGACCGCAACGCGGTGTATCTTTCGGTGTATGTATAATAATGGTTAGCTCAGAATTAGCGAACTAATGCGAGCGAACCCGCGATCGTTATCGCGCTTGCCATTTAGGCCCTAACCGAACTATACACCTGCCTACCTGTAATCACGAAACGTCTACGCTAACAGATTTTCGTTTCACTCTCTCTCTCTCTCTCTCTCTCTGCCCCCTCGCTCTCTCACCCACTCTTTCTCTTTCTCTCTCTGTCTCTGTCTCTCTGTCTCTTTTCTCGGTCGCCTAAGGGACACGCGATGCAACTTGAGCCGATATTGAATCCCTCGTACACCCGTAATTGAAATGTACGATCAATATTTATTCTCCAGTGTGTGCCCTCTGCTGAGGTGTGTGTCATGTTGGTGGCCAATTAGGCATGTTAATCAACGGTATTTTCTGATTTCACGAGATTTCACGGGCTTCAAGGAGGCCGGGCCAGATATATCCGATCGATCCCGCGACCGGTAATGGTTTCTCACGGGCGTGATAAATATTTATTCCTTCTCCGTGTCCACCGCGCGTACTGAAATTCGAATGCAACAAAAAGACCGGGGATCCGCTTAATATTCGTAAATTACGGGCGAGAATGTATTTATAATGGGAAAGGGGTTTACCGACTGAATAAAATTGCGCCTAATAATTAGACCGCGTATCTTTATGCAAAATCCCCCGCCGGGTCTTTAAAGGCTAATTGACGGAAACCGCAACCAGATGAGAGCTTGTTACCTCGATGCCTTTTTACTAGGCAAGGGAGAATATAAAATTTGTTTTTAACTTTGTCACAATTTTTTTTATTTTTTCTCGTGAGGACGTCCATTCGATGTCCTTTAGTTGGAAACGATCGAAAAAGTTCACGGCGTCCTAACGAGGATGGGAAGGGATTACAGCTGCCACTGGAAATACGGTATTTGCTTTGCGAATGTAGTTTTAATAAGTATCCCTGGCAGTTTCAAGTTTTTGTTCGAAAGTCTGTGTAATGCTTATTAAAGATAATTTATTGACTTATTTCGTCGAATGACACCGCGAAATTTCTATTTTTGTTTTTCTTTACAGAAAATAAGCAATAGTTTGTATGACAACTTGACAATAATTCTTAAAAAATTTGGAAGATTTTAAGCCTTTACACTCAAAAGTTTTTCACTAGAAACAGTCAATATTCTTCGAAATTATTTAATGAGAAAAGATAGATAAATTAGGAAAAACTCAAACTGAAGATCAATATATCCAAGATCTTTTGAGATCACAAGATACATGAAACATTTTTACACTAGAAATACCACATGAATCAAAATCATTTATTCCCGACATCTTCTTCTATAATTACCGAAAAAACACAGAATACCGAAAAACATAGAAGCTGATTCAGCAATACATAATATGTATCAATTGCAATCTTAATAAACGCAAGCTTAGTTCCTGCAAAGAAATTTGAAAATGTCAGTCCAACTGCTCGATAGTTCCAGTGTTAATTTCCCACCGTTCACCAAAACGTAACTTCGCGTTTCTCGCAATTTCACCTCTTAACCGCAGCAGAAAGAAATGGAGAAAACAATAATATTTATTCCTAGTTAGAGAAACTTTCGAATCGAAAGCATTATAGCCACAGCCCACGTATTTACGCGCGATCGTCTCGCGGCAATCATCGGTTTCGTTCCGACACATTGTGCTACAGGCGGGCATTAGGCGAAGGGAAACGAGGAACGTCGGACGAGCGCGATAGGGGCGAGGCGCGGCAAGGCAAGGAAGACAGTGCGATGTAATTAAAGTCGTTTAATAACAGGTCTATAGATCTTGGCTCCCGATCCGCCGTATAAAATTCTTCGTTAATTACTGTCAAACTGACTTCCAAATCGTAATTTAGTTGATGCCTCGAGCCAATCGCTCGGGAACGGATACGGCTGGCCGGAGAAGGAGGGAAAATACGAGTTCGTGCCTCCGGATACGAGCGAAAAAGAGGGGAAAACGGTTTCGTGCTGGATAGAGAAAGTTAAAGGAACGGAGGGAAGAGGACAAGGATGCAGGAGAGAAGGAGAAAGAGAGGGAAGAAGGAGAGAGACCGTAGTGATTTTAATTTTTACTGTCGATTGCTCGGAACGACTCGTCTTCTGATCTCGCCGACGGTAGCTGACCTCGTGTTAAATGTCCGAGAAACGATAACGACGAGCCGCGTCGTTGCATAAATCAGAAAGCCAGTATACCCGCACAGCTATCGGCCGGACAGTGTTGTATTAGTGCCGTTAATATTTTCTGCCCGACTATATTTCGTTGGCTCCGGATCCGGCGATCGAATTCTATTTACACGGACGCTGAATTCTAAGTGGCACTTTTCGAGCGGCGTTCCACGAGAAACCCATCCGGGGCGCCGAACAATTAACCGACTGAGTTCTCTCTCTCATCCAAAGGTTCAAGGGTGAGAGAGAGAGAGGGAGAGAAAGTCACGCCCGGTCAATTCTGGCCGTGATCACTGAGCCGTTTTCTTAATTTAATTTCTGTTTTATTGTAATAGTTTCATAAAATATTACGACTGAGAATACGAGCAGCCCTTTACGCCGCTTAAAGTATATTCGTTTACAGATTTCCGACGATACCGGGATTACGCGGTATCGCCGATTAAATAAATTATATTGTGAAATAATTCGTTGCCCTTTAATTTTAAGGGAACGTTCCGATTTTTATGCCCGCCGGGGACGCTTCGGCCGATAGGGGTAAAGTATTAATTCGTTCGGCGAATCGATCCTCTGTCACACGCCTCGTATAAATTATAATGAATGCGTCGTAATTAATGCGAGTATCGGTGTCGTGTAGCGCAGGACACAGAAAAATGTGGGGTGGATTCTATGGCTGTTAACTCTTTTACACGGAAATTCTCAATTTACAGGTGGTACAGTAGATAATATTAAACTTCTGAGAATGACGAGTGCATTTAGAATGAAATCTTGCAAACTATTAAAGTATCTAAACAACAAAAAATTGTTCACAGTTCTTTATAGCATCTAAGAATTCTATATAGAATTTACTTTTGTATAAAAAATCTTCATAATATTAAAAAAAAATCCTCGGCCTCAAAAGCGTTAGATCAATAAGATAAGTAACCAAACTTCTTTGAACGGCAACGCACTTAAATTTCATTGGCAAATAAAATCTCAACACCCGTTATTCTTAACTAACCCAAAACTACAAACAAATGTTACAAAATCAAATTAACTCCTTGCACTATGATCCAATGAAAATTTTAAAATGAACTTGATGAATCTAAATGTATTTTGCTTCTTTTGAATAAAAATTATACTTGACTTGTCCATGATTAATCGTTAACTTCTGGTGTAAACGAAGATACAGGACAAGTATCAAATTCTTTTTCTAATCAATTGTTAAGGATAAAGTAGTTTTATCGAGCAAAGTCGCGGAAGAACTCACAGAGCAAGGAATTAAACAAAATTTCCAACAAAACTCATGGAAATTTACAAAAATCGCGGGACGTTCTTCAATCCGCAACCCTCTTGTGCTCACCTGTATGCGGCATATTGATCCAAGGATTTCCCCGATAACCTGCAACAGAAAGGAAAGGACACATTAGCCGATCGATGGATCATTGCAAAAATCGTCGGTCGATCTCCGAGCGTCGCGTCGCGTCGCGTCATGTCGGCCGCACGCAATTATTTCGCGACCGCCGACGGTGTTTAGAGGCATAACGATGCCCATATTTCGTGGCCGCGCGACGGTGTGCGATCGAGCGTGTGCGCCGCGCAGTTTACGGGAACACAGCCTTTACTGTTAATGAATTTAAATGTATTCAAAGGGCGCGCTTGACGCTTGACATGGCAACCCTTAAATATGCAACCGTACCACACGGCAAAATATTGCCGGCCACCGTACCGTGATTCTCATTCCGTGAAAAAGAAACCGATTCGAACCGGCTGGCCATGCGCGCTTCTTCCATTTTCTATTCATTTTGTCCATTTTTTTCACTCGTTTTTCTTCTCTTCCATCGATATGCACACAGAACCTGCTGGCCGTAATGGATGCACGTACCTGCGATTTCATGGGGACGACAGAATAAGTTAACAACGCGGCCTACGCGACGCAAAGCGAAGGCGTGCATAATTCGACGCGATTATCCGAGTAAAATGAGTTATCGATAAACTTTCAATAAATCCATTTAGCGGGAATTATTCATGAGACTGGCGCCCCGCATTTTCAAATAATAAGTAGACACTGGTTCGTTCTAGGAACGATATGTTACGACAGTTAATAATTACGCGCTTTCCATCATTTGATCCAATGTTCTCTTCTTCCGGTTCGGAATTTTCAGTCCCCGTGTTCGCTAGGCTTATTTATAGAACGAGTAAGAATTTATTCGTGTTCGAGGGCGATTTCCTTTTCAACTGGCCGACTAATGTGGATGTTTCGTTTTGTAATTTGTAATCGAACTTGAATATTGAACGAACTTATACCTTATTGGCGGTAATGCTTATCGATGCTCATATTAATCTAGCAATCCATCACCCCAAATAAATTAGTATTAGTTACCATGTGTTTTAATAACATTAACGTCAAATTTAGAGGGTGAAAGTTAACATATATCTTCTAACCCTATTTTCACAAAACTTCTGTTTTCCTCACATATAAAGTCTTGCATTAAATATATCCTACATTATACTATTTCAACAAAGATCAAAAGCTCCGTTATCCTTCACCTTGCCACGTCGAAACTGCCAGTAAATGCAAACGCCATTGCTTAGAATACAACACCAATAATTCCAATGTCTTCAACCTTTCAACCCCCAACAACCTAACACAATACTTTTTCATCGATAAGATAGTCACAGGAACCTCATGCATGAAAGACCAATTCAAGATACTTCCTAGAATATCCTCGGTCAGATAAACACGGATTTTATCCTCCCGATGGGTCCGCGATCGAGTAAAGGTTGCGCGGCGTCGGCGACGAGTAAAACCGGTGGGTGTGTCGGCGACGGCTTGAGAACTCCGTGGAGAGATCGAACGGTAGCGGAAAACTACGTGGAATGCGTGCGTAGCGTGGCGGGTGGCGTGTACTTTGTGATGCAAATTAATGCGCGATTACCAAACCGCCCCTGTCCCCGTGCCGCCCCTTCTCATCCGTTACCCTCAGCGCGGGTTCGTGTCGAGGCCTCTACACCGCGGCCACCGGCAAATGGCTACACGGCTGTGTTGGTGGCTGCGTGCCACAATTTCAGGTGTACTCTCGGTCGGCTTGTACGTGCAACGAGCACGGGCCCACACCGCGCCACCCCCATCCCCCGTTCGCGACTCGATGCCTACCCACGCATTAAGCCTGGTTACACGCTCGCGCTATCCCGCTACCCCTAATCTGATGTAACTATTACACGTTACGCGGTAGCCACCGCAGCAAGTCCCCGTGTTAGCCATCGACGGAATATTCTTTTCTTCCTTGTGCTCATTCCGTTTTCGTACTGATTGATTCGTCGCGAATTGCTGCGAATTGGATTGCGGCGAACGAAGCTTGGTTTCTTCGCTGTCTTTTCTCTTATTTATGTTATTCGTCATTATTTATTTTTCTTATTTGTTTCATGTATTATTATTTATGTAACAGTTTCATGTAATATTATTTACAATTTTTTCTTTAACGTTTTATTGAATATTTTATTCAGAATGAAGCATAATATTAGATATGACAATGTAATAATAATTAAGTACAGTATAAAAATTATGTATCTATTAAAATTGTTCAGGCAATATTTTTTCGTTCGAATTTTTCAGAAAATTGTGTCGCTATACAAAAGAAAGAGTCGAAAGCAAACTTTGGTATTGATTCACACGAAACCAGTGAAAACTCAGGAACAAAAGAAGCTAAGAATGTCATGCGTACGGGCGCGCGTCTCGCAAGAAAACGATCCAGGCATTTTTGCTCTGTGTCCGCACAAAGACCAGGAAAATCGACGGTGCAAAGTTGTTATGGCGTCGTGCTCCTCGAAAAACTCGATTCTACATATATGGCGTTTGTAAAGTTCGCGGATACTAAAATTCCATCACGAAGCGATTTCAAGGTGTCAAGCGATACTCGTTAAAGCTGCGGCCCCCCTTTGAAACGCGGCCCCCCTTTTTCGTTTGGCAAAGAACACCGTTGTTACAATCGTGTTGTGGGTTACCCTAATTAAAGTAATTTCTCGTGAAATTTGTGGCAGAAGTTCAGATGTTGTAAAAATAACGAACGAACGTTGTACAACTGGTTACTGCCACTTGTTGTTAGCTTCACTGCAGGTGATTATTTCCATAACGTACACCAAACCCTCGACTTGCGCGAACGTCCGTTCCGCGTGGGTTCGTTTTATGCGAATGAAAATCGCATAAATAGAGTCTATCAGTACAAGAGAAAACAAAATATTGGAAAAAAGCTGATATAAGTTTTAGAGATACATATATATTCCATATAGCTTAACGAAAAAATAATAATGACATTTCAGAGAACGAAAGTATCATTCTTTTCAAAATTGTTTGCTTACCAAATTCATTGCAACTATTTCGAAATTCAAATAACTCTATTATTTAAGAACTAATCAAATTTTCTACTTTAGTTATCAATTGAAAACTAGCCTCTCCGAATAATTCATTTCAAAATTATGATTAAGATATATACATCCTACTTTGACGTCTAATTCTATACACAAATTGTTCGAATAAATTATCGTAACCTTTGAAAAATGTATCGTTTACCACCCTCAAAAACAATTACCCTTCTTGTGTTAAAAATTGCAAGCTAATCGCACAAATTTATAATTTGAACTTGTCAAAAATATCGTTCGAGTAAATACTTTTTGATGCGGGATACGTGGTACTATTTGACCCGAGTCCGACGATCGGAAATGCAATCGGACTCCTCGGTTCGCAATAAAATATCTCCGTAATAAGGATTGGACAATTATTATAAATCAAACAGGAGGCCCGGGTGCGGGGATCGTTCGCCGCATTTCTCGCGCGCCACGTGTTTTGCCGGTGTTACTCTCTCGTGAACACGTGTCCCGGCCTTTCCCGCTTCGCCTCTTTCTTCATCCTGTCCAACCCTTCCTTCCCCCGCCCGCGCTCCCCGGAGGTACGTGCAAAAGTGACGTACGCACCGAACGCTCTCGACACGTTGAATTTTTCTTCTTCGTACACGGGGACCGCAGCTAACTTCTTTTGGGCACGCTATGATTCCGATGTTTCAATTACATTGGCCCAGTGAAAGTCGTGCTTAACGATAACCGAATGCTTCCGCGGGCCAAGAACGCGTCAAAATGGGGGATACTGGTTAAGATGGCGTAAAATTTGAACAATATTTGTTTTACTATATTTTTTCTATATTTTGCACTTTGTATTTTGAATGTGGTATCGTTTGTAAGAGTTTATTTAAATTTTATGTAATGTTACTATTACTAAGATTAGTGCTAGTATTATAATTTTTATTTAAAGAATTGGATATTAGGCATATTAGAAATAATGCATTTCCATGGTTTACATTTAACAAAGAGATTAAAGTGTCGTCAAATAAACTATTTTGTTGTAAAGGATATTTTTAAATGTAGAACACACTAGCAAAGTATTTATTACCATTTTCTATAATGGCTTGAAACAAATACTTCTTTCTTTTATAGGAATTATGATTCAAGATTTATTGGTACTTTTAATATCTTCCTCGGATTATAAACCGAACCGCAGTTTAGAAATTAGTGGTACATAGAGAAAAAATACTTTTATTCAGCGATGCTGATGACATTCGCAGCTGTAGGGTTATGCGCGGCCATATCAAACGGGAGATACTGTTTTTTTTCTTACTTTTCGCACCTTCGTTTAATTGTATAGGATGCATGTAATATCGGTATACCGAATCATAAATAAATTTTTATGCGACATGCAAGACACAGGTGGCAATTACGACGAGAAAAAGCTTGGGAGAAGCGCACAGTTAAAGAGACATCAACGCCTGCGTGAGAGGGTATCCGGCTGCAGCGGTGATAACAAAGCTCTCATATCAATTTCTATATACGAGGTGAAATGAATCGTTTGTTTATTCGTAAAATAAAAATAACCGACTCCTTAATTTACTTAAGTACCAACGTTGCAATAAATAATACACCTGTATAACATTCATTGAATTTATTTTTATTCTCTAGTTATTTTAGATTCGACGTTAAACTTCATTCTGAATGTTATGTATTTTACCGACGTATGCTGCATTTATTTCTAATGTCACAATCTTGGTAAACGGCAAATAATATAAATAAATACTTATATTAAATTAGACAATCTTCATATAGCTTCTGGAATGAAACATCAAACCTACAAATAAAATTATAAATAGACTAAATGTACTCGTTCTTAATTAACATTTACTTCACTCCCTAACAAACTTACATGTGTCTGATCCCATTGACTCCAATATTGTAACAATAAATTTCTAGAAATTTCTACAATCGTTCTTGCCTCGAAACAAAAACAAGTTACGGCCCAAACAACCTCAATGACGTCAAGATTTGTTCCTCAATTTTCCAACAAAATTACCAACAACA